TCGGGGCTCGCCTCCCCCGGCCCCAGCCTCCGAGGATGCCGCAGCATCTTCTCCCAGCGCACCCCAAGGGACCTCTATGCCACATGGGGACAAAAGAAGCAGGTTTGCCTTCAGGTTTCCTTAGATAATGGGAAGCAAGGTGTATCTCCCACAATAGGTTTTTATGACCTTTGGCTACACTCGAAAACTATACGCAGGTGGCGGAGAGGGAAAGATCCATGCCTCTTGGTTTCCGTGTCACAGAGGCAAAGAAATTATCTTCGGATGTAAGCTACATTGCACGTCGCTCAGAGCCAGATGTGCCAAGTCTCACTCTGCAGACCTAATTTACACAGCACAGCACTGCTCGAAAAAAAATAACTTCTGCCATGGCACTGGCTAGTAAGATGGCTTCTTTTATTTTGAAGAAGCATCAACTACAAATCTCCAGGGATATTTTATAATGATAAATGTTACTGTTTATCATGCCATACTTTTTCCGGAATGTTTGAATTACCTTGAAGCACAGCATTATTCATATTTGTGCAAAGTTAATCTTAACAAGCAATCAGGAACAGAGCGCTTGTATGTTGGATGCTTTAGAATAACCTTGACCTTTTATTATTGCATATCCAGGAGTTAAGCCATATAGGGAAAGCAGGGAATTGAGCAAGGCACCTGCAAAAGCATAACTGAAACGTATGCATTTTTAAACTTGTGTTAAAATGGCTTCTGAAGCACAGAAAACAAGGAACACTGAGGGGCTAAAAGACAAAATCTAGAGCCTGCTGGCAAAATTCAGTTTGGTATACGCAGGATCCTAATTTACTCAGCCCCATATCGACCTTATGTAGTTAGTCCAGTCAGCACTGCTTAAACTCAAACTGCCAAAAACGGTAAATTCCCTCTGAAAGAAACTGAATCAGCCAAAATTATAATCAGCTTTTCAGGGAAGTAAAAGACCACTGAAGCATGTTTCCATTTGCATTTCTTTGTTCCTCTGTAAGTAACTGCTTTCTGATACTAATACAAGCAATTAGGAGGGCCACTACTATTTATGAGTATTTAAAATATAAAGCTTGATTCGATATAGGAAAAGATTACACATTTTGCTTCACACTGCAACCACTAAAAGGTTAAAGTCAATTCACAGTTCCTGTTGAAAGTTTTTCTTCTGCAGATAGTGCCTATCAAGATGGTCTCTCTCTTTGCTTTTACACCCTGAGAGCTAGAACTGGGGCAGCATTTCTAGGGCAATATACTCCTGCTCATTCCTCAATATTAAGATTACTATCAACAAAATGACATTTTAATCAACACTTTCACAGAGTTAATGAAAATTTAAATGAAAAGATACATACACAACACGAAGCACAACAAAATGTGATGTTCTGTAAGTACACAAAGTATTCAAAAACTAGTGGAGAAGTTCTTTGCAGGGTCTAAACCTAACGAAACACAAGAACAATACTCGGTGCACCCCACATGTATATTCAGGATATACTGCAAGCCAAAATAAGGACTTTTACTGAAGTTAATTGAAATTTTCTGGTGAGTGAGGATTGCATATTTAGGCCTGAAGTTATTAACATCTACTCTGATGTAAATAGGGACATAACATCTATTCTGATGTAAATAGGGACATTTGGATCCACTTTGTCACATCACCAGGAGTGTTTTCTCCTTCAGGTGTGTTACTACTGAGGTGATGTATCATATGAGTATCTGCACTTCTAAATCGGGCATGTGAGGATGGAAGTATATTGATAATGAAGCTTAAAACATGAACTTTTGCTTATACTTTGTATCGCTGGAAAACAGGCAGAGAAGATTTTCGGTCCACACTAGCTAGTACACAAGCAGGCCTGGAAACAGAGCTGTTAATTGTAAATTATTCCTACAAACCAGAATTTTTAAGTCTCCTGAAAGGAGAAGAACACTCTCGTAGAAAAAGCATCATTAAATCTGAACATAATATAGTCCTTCAGGGTGTGATTGTAGGTACACAAACAGAGCTGCATGTAATCTCTTTAAGGGATTTTTATAGAAAACATCTGTTAATGAGGAAAATGCATTTGTTTCATTAACATTATAACTTTTAGTATTATCGCCTCCTTGCATCAACAGATTTTCTCTAATTGGTGTGATGTATATGGATTTTTCAGCTTCCATAAAATAAGAGGTACAGATAAAAAAGCTGTGCTACACCATGGTAGATTCACAGTACTCGCAATCCAGAAATACATGCATACATTGAAGTGAACAATAATTTCCTTCTTGTATGAACATTTTAATTTAGAGAAACATATTGTTTTGTGTAAAGAAGGTAGTAGATAATTAACAGTATTTATTTAATCTAATTATAGGCCTCTGAGGCAAAAAGCTGACACTTTTCATTGTGGTATATTCAGAGAAGTTAATTGAAAAAACATTGCAGCCACAAGGCATAACATGCCCATCGTATATTTGATATTAATTCTTTTTTCAAAAATTCAGATGAATCTGATGCTCACTAAAGATAAGGATAACTATTACTCACTAGAGTAAGGCAAATTCTGTGTAAGCTTGTTATGCAATGCTGCAGTGCACTGCAATATCTCTGCAATTTCAGAGCTAACCACAGACAACTTAATTTGCCAAATTGCGAGATGGTTTTGTAATGTACACAAGTATCTATTACAAATTAAGAAAAGACTGAACACATTTTTAGCTGGGACGTAGGTCAGAATTTGAACAGAGATCTGCCTCAAGAAGTGATAGGTAAATCTATCAGCTCTTAGCTCTGTTTAACCCCCTTGATAAGAATTTTTAGGAGGGACCAAGTAATAACAGCAACCATACCGTTAGGAATTGTTTGTAAGGAGTGTCATTTGTGTGTTTAAGCTATCAATATTACAAACAAATACATGCCCATCAAATCAACACTTGCAACTCCCAATTATATAAAAATAAATGTATAACAGACCACTTGCAGCTTTTGAATAACTTTTCCTACCACCAGATACACCAGATACATATCTTGTGACAGTACTCCTACTTTCATTCTCAAAAGGAAAGTAAAGCAGTTCAGCTCTGCAAAATTTGCCTTCCAGATGAAAGAGAATATAACAGTCCAGCTCTGCTGGCTTTGGGGAAAGAGAATACCACCTCCCCCCCCACACACACTTCATGAATGGAACAGTGCAATTCTCTGGTGTTTCTATAGCTCTAGCAGTCACCCCACAGGAGACCTCCCACGCCACCTCCTGCTTCTGCACTCCTCTGCTTTCTAGTCAAGTGACCTCCATTTCTGCTCTGCTTGCAGGCAGGCAGAGGGACCCGGAGCACAGCCAGCCATCCCCCTCTCTCTCTTCTGGGGTCTCCAGTGCAGCTGTTTCTAGCTAGTGGGAGAAGCAATTGCAAAAGGCAGTTCTGCTCATCCCTGTGAGGAAGTGTACCTAATTACTGTGGTGATGGGGCAAACACTCTTAGAAGCACAGAGAAATGCCATCAAGCTGAGTGTAGGGCCTTGGTTTGTTCTGCCAATGACAGGCATTGCTGGCAGCCCTACCTATAATTTTAAAATTACTTTAAATATTTTCAAATGTATTTTGCAGAAATATTTTTTACTGTGGTTAGAAAAGAAGCCTATTGCACTTCAGGCAGTTAAAATGTTTGTTAACAAAGTCAGAGGAAGCCTGAAAATTTAATGGACAGCAAGATGCAGTCTCCTTAACTCTGGAGCTCTGGCTCGAGTCACAGAATATTTGGCAAGTGAACTTTTTAACAAGAAAAAATGTATTACTATAGAAGTTAGCCGTACCCATTTCCTATTCCTATACCATTAAAGATAAGTCAAAAGCTGCACTGATGTCCTAACTCAAAAAATCGTTCTGTTCTTAGCATTCATTCTGCATTCTGACTCCTTCTGTTCTTTGCTGCTCTAGAGTTATCCATACCTCCATTTCCTGCCTCCTGCCTTCTTGCACTCTTCCATTTCCATCTCCCTGTTCTTTTTCCTCCATGTGCACATCCACCACACACTCTTCCTCTTATTTTTTCTTAATTATTCCCCTAGCATCATATCTTTATCTCCACTATGCCTATTAATCTTCTTACCTGCTATCTTACTTCTCTTCCCCACCGCCTAGCTGAACCTCATTATGTCCTCACCTCATCTTTTTTGTTCCTAGTATGAAGACTTAACAAGATGCTGCTTCCACAGCTGTTTTCTGTCCATGATGACAATGTCCTAGGACTAGTCTGTCCCAGTTCTCTCCCTTGCACTTCCAGCCTTCACCTCCTCTTTTTGCCTCCTGCCTTCTCTTCCCTCCCATGCTCTGCTTTTTTTGGTCCTCTTCCCTACCTCTCTTTCATCTTTGGATCCATCCTCCTCCTCCTCCTCCTCCTCTTTCTCACTGTCTCAGCAGCAATAGAGGACATGGAGATTAGACACTAGGCACCCAGGAGAGGTTCCCTGATCACACCCTAATCTCCTAGGAATACAGCAGGAGAAACAGAAACTACAGGGAAATGCTGCTTGGTCCCTAGTGCCTCAGGCAAGAGCAGACTCAGTTGCTCTGTGCAAAAGCTGCACATGGAGTCTACATGTCATACAGCAGCTGTACCCAGAACGAGCTCTGTCAGCACAGACTGATCTTTGGAAAATTTAGCTGCCAAAATCTAACAATTCTTAACCGATTATGTGCAAACTGAGATTTTATGGAGTCTTATAACTTCATTAAATGTGGATGCACATCTGTGAAACCACAGCAATCATGCTGCCCAATTTCAAGTTTCTGCTCAAAAGGTACAGGCATCAAAAAAGACCAGTGATGGTGTTACATTTCAAATTCCTTCTGTAAAGAAAGGGAGATACCAACACTTCTGAATTAAGCAGCTGCCTTTTTTTTTTTTTTCCTGCTAACATGGGCAAAATATTTTGTTAACCTTGTTCCTGAAAAGGACTACAGTGGTTTAGCTGAAAACTGCCAAAAAATTAAACCTGGGGCAGATCACTTGGCTTGGATAATTTCAGCTCAAACAAAGTTGCAGGCAACTGCAAACAAGATGTTATTATAAAGCACAGGACAATATTAAGTAGAGCAGTTCTATGACTTTGGCCTAAATGTGGAAAAATTTTAAGTGGTCTGTGATGAGTTTTTAATAACAGATTTGTGGAAATAAACAGAGTTAAATTAGATATCACAGTTTCAGGTGAAGACACTTCCTCTGAAAATAAAGGTTCTGATCCAGAGGGCTACGACTTTAAGAGGGGGAGAGAGGGGTGCACTGGGAACATTGGGACTGAGTGCTGGAGCTGTATCTTTGGCAACAAAAGAAGGCTGGAACACATACAGAAGAGTAGAAATAAACAATAAAAAAATATTCTACGGAGATGAAGCTCCACAGAGACATCAAAGGGAAAGGGAAAAAGGAGTTGGTACTGGTGGGAGAATATCAAAGCAACAGAACGGGATATTAAAATCTTTTGTTACCTCTGGGGTTCTTAAATAGCCTGGCTCTGATTCACATGGGTCGATGGATTGAAGCTGTGGGGTGAACTAGGTACTCCCTCTCCCCACTCCCTCATGTATGCAGCTTGCCATTACAACCCCCCAGGAAGAATAACAGAACAGCTCCTAAAGGAGTGCCACATTTCCCATAGTTACCTGTTTACCTTCATACAGCAAACTGCACACGATGGCAGTTCAGGAGCTGCTCCAGGAGATGGTGAATCATCCTTTCCATGGCAACGGTTAGCATGGCAGAGCAGCAGGTTAGCTAACTGAGGAGACGACCCATGTCAGTCACCTGACCAAAATCCTCTGCTGCCTCTGTGCTAGAGATTTCAAGAGTACAGGTTTATGGTGACAATTGCAACAATTACCATTGAGGGCTATTTGCATTTAACATTGTAATTCCATTCCTCTGCTAAGTCTGAAAGTAACAAACCCCCTAAAGTCACAGCAGTCCTTTTTAAAAGACAATGGACTTCCTGTTAATTTGCAAGTAAACCCATTTTTTTTAACTATAAAATTAATTTAAAAAATAATTTAGCAGATCTAATGGATTTTTGGTCACTTGACTGCATGTTTGTCTAAAAGATATGCTCCAGCTCGAGAAGAAATTAATTCAGGAAGTCCTGTGGCCTTTGTTTTGCAGGAAGTCAGACTAGATGAAAATGGTAGTCCCTTCTGGCCACTTCTATTAGTCTTTCTTTGCATAGGGTTTTTAATACCAAAATTATATTAAGGCTTTTTATTTTAAGTGCAGTTCAAATATCCTGAAATCTCATGCATAGCCTACATTTGAAGAAGTTTGGTTGTATTTAAGTAAAATTCTTAATGTTAATGATTACGATTATAGAGACTATGGTCAAAATGGTGACCTGTGGTAGCATCATATGAAGAAAAGTAGGAAATTAAAAATCACCTAATTTAAAAAAAATCTGCATTCATAAGCACAAAAAATTAAATTATTGCTTGGTGCCGTGGCTTAGCATACAAGGTTGCTTGGTTTTCTTAACAGTGCATGTGTTACTTTTAACATAGTGGGACTTAGTGTCAGGTTTAGTATTAATCACTGCAATGCTTAGTTTTGGGATCACTGCAATATTTACATAATCTACCTTATTCTTAATGATATTTTATTCTCAACATCTCCTTCCATTTTACACAGCTTCATCTTTTTAGCTGGAAAATTCAGGTTTAAGGAGAGCAGAAAAAATGGCCTGACAACATGATCTAATGAACCACAAAACAGTCTTCAAGGAGAAAAAGTAGCAGGAAGTTCCCTCATACAAGGTATTAACAAGAGATTGCACCAAGTACTGGAATGTATACAGATTTCTAAGTGATATGCATTAGGAAATATTCTCACCTATATTTTTTCCTTATAACACCCAATTTAGTTCTCTGAAGTTTGTAAGTTCTTCATATTGATACTTCTAAGAAGTCAAAAATTATAATGTTAATTTGAATAACCTATCAATTAGCAAGCAACCTAATGACACAGCCTAATGGTACCATTGAAGTATCTGAATTTAATATACCATTTTTCTAATGGCACAATATGAAACTTATGATGGAATCCAACTCTTCCCCCAAATTTTAGGCTTGATTTATTTCTCATAATGCAATAATTTTCCACTGGAGGCATCAAAAGAGAGAAATCAATTTGGATATATATCTTAAATAATGAGAACAGTAGTCATTTTGGATTACTGAGAAGTCTTTCAAACACATTTCAAAAAGGTGTACTTGTTATTCGATGCCTTTTATAAACGGAGGCATCTGTAGGGAATTGAGAGGAGTCAGAAGAGTTACAGCCAGCTTCTACCATATTGAGGAAACTAAACAGTACATTATTTTGAACACCATCTTCCTCGGACTTTTCCTCAAAGATCGAGGAGCTTTCCCAGAGGTCTAGCCTGTGAATCTGCAGTATAGTTTGAGAACATAATAAAGGAGACAAAAAAGAGTTTAAGAAAGTCTAACTTTTGGATTTGCATAGTTCTGTTGTTTCCCTGGATTACGTAATGCTCAGAACTGCAAATGTGCCTATACTGAGAGTATCATAAGGTGAGGGCAACAACACTTTCTTGTCTGCCCAAAAGCTTGTCTACTTTGCCTGACTTGTCTAGCAAAAACCTCTACCACAACCCTTAGATTTTCCTGGCTACAATGAAATTATCATTAAAATTATAAATTTCAATTTACACTTCAAAGACAGCAAGATTTCTTAATCTGAAGTTCCATATATCCGTCTTACTGAGATTAATACCTACAACACATAGTGTCCTCACTTCCTAAGTTGCCACATACCAAGATGTGCCCAGCAGTACAGTTGCAGGCAATATACATCACCCACTAATGCCAGTCAAGGAGAGTGACAGGAAGTATTATGTTGGGTGCAATTCAGCCCATATTTTGGCTCCTACTAATAAGTTTTTCCCAATTTGCGTAATGGAGGTTAAATCCTAGGAGATCCTAAATGGTCACATATATTATTAGACAACTTTTAGTGTTATCTAGCTTTTATAAGATGCCTTTCAAATATTTTCTAAGCTAAAAATGCTGGAGCACTATTTGTTCCGTGCTGTTCTCTGTTCAGAAAAAACTGATATCCAGTCAAGGCACAATCAAAGAAAACATCTGATTTGTCTTCTCTCCTTACTATTCTGCAGAATGACAGAATTAAAAATCTGTATTGGATATGTGAAAAAATCTGTACTACATTAAAAATATTTAATGTTGGGACAACATATAAGTTTTAAAAGCAGGAGAACAAGTTGGCCTCTCCTATAGAACTTGTTTGATATAATATTAAGAGACATCTTAACTGGCAGTTTGAAAGAAAATGAAGTAGGACATGTTGAACCCATGTTAAAAAAAAATCTATACTGGATGAAAAAGTAATGAAGTGAGCATTAGATCTGAGATAAAAGTTCTGCTTTTCAGAATGACCAACAAAATTTTTTTAAAGAAAGGCCATAAAATGAAAGAAAATTCATTAAAAGCATCAACAAATTCATATGCTTCCAGAGACTCTTATTCAAACATACTGCTGTAGATCAAATGTCTAAAAGGTAATTTATGGATAAGTCAACACTTATTCTTCCGTACTGCTGGGTGCGTAAAGCTCAATTTGCTTATAAGGGGAGGAAAACTGTCCATTTCATGCACAGTATTCAGTAATGCTTCAAATCACAGCAGACCTTATCCATTTTGAGGAAAAGACATTTTAGAGCAAATAGAGAATTACAAACTCTTGCTTCATCTAACTTTTCTGCAAGTGATGCTTCTCTCAGCCACTTGTGAATATTTCTGTTTTTTATTAGTTATGTTTGCTTACTTTTCATATGAGATTTGCTGTCACTGAATTTGATATTTGAGGTCAACATTTCAAACATATTTGTAAATGAAACCTTTTATTTTTGCTGGATTTGAAATCTGAGGTCTTCTCTGTCCCTTAACAAACAAGGGAAATCTTTACATACTCAGAGGAGAAAATATTTCCCGATTTTTCCATAATCCATTGTTATTTTGGTTGGACTTTTCTTTTTGTTCACATACTCGTATTCCCTTTGTTAAAGTTGCTGATATATCTAAACAAAAAAGTCCTCTTATTATATTTATTAACTGGGCAAATTCGATATAATCTTTGAAAAACAATAAGCCACACTTACATTAACTTTTCAGAAAGGCAAAGATTATCCTGTAGCACTTAAAGCTATACTTTTATGGTGGAAAAGAAATTCTGAATTTTACAGTTTGCTAATTATGCACAACAAAAGAATAGACAGTACCATCAGAGCTCAGGACAATTAACAGGATATATTTAGAATATTTTAAATGCGCTAATCTTTTCTTTTGCTTGAAGTAGCACTCCCCTTGAGAGGAAGAGAAATCATGCTGAGACAACTTACTATTGCAAATTAATGGTATGGTCTATTTCCCAAGCATTTAATTTGGCCACAGTAACCTGTTTAACTTGGATGATTTGTCAGAGAATGACCTAAAAAAGAGACCAAGTTCTGATTTTAAAGGGATGAGAGGAAACGGATGGCATTATTGTTTCTGTCCAAGTATGACTCTTCAAAATAGGGCAAGGGAAAATTCAGTGATTTAGTCTCGCCAAAGTTCACGGTACTTTGGAGATTTTGAAAATACTGACAGAGAAGAACTATGGACTAGAAGAGACAACTGAGGAAAAAAGTCAGACTTTATATTGCAAAAGCATATAAAGAAAATTTAACATTTTATATACAACAGATAAGCCTGAAATTTGGAAAATAAGTTCTTAGACAAAACTATATATTTTCCCTGCTTTGAGAACTATTCGGGCTAGGAATAGGGACAGTAACACCTGCTTAAATCTGAGCCATCTACTTGCAAGGCAGCTGTCACTATCTGCATGACTACTACACTTGTACAGATAAACAGTCTATATTGCAAGACAGCTGATACATCAGGTCCCTATTACTTCCAAATCAGTGGGGATGAATTTAATCTTTTAAAGATATTTTTTGTGGCTCTGGCACTCTAGGAAGTACTTCCAGGCGTGTACCTCTTGTCTGAGTCCGGTCTTGTTATGTGGGCCTCTGCAATTAAGCAATCCCAGATCCTTAAACCATTGCCTCCAACTTTCCCAGCCTGCTGCCTCTTGTCATTTCTCATGTTCCTTTAGAGTTGTTCACAGCTGTATGCATTTCAACTTTCTCTTTGGGAACACAAAGGTGTAATTTTTTTTAGTGAAACACATCACATCTTTCTGGAGCAAACAAAGACTTAAGGCTAATGGATAATGGATTTGGCATAATATCAGTCTCTCAAGGAATCTCTCCCTGACTGAACTCTGTTTCACTGGGAATATTTATCGTTCAGGAAGCAACACTTAAAATTTTTCTCACCATAAAAGAATGCTTTCACATCCTGTGAAAGGTGGTGTATCACCCCCCCCCCCAATACTTCCATTGGCCTGATTACTATATGTAAAGATCTATCATCCTTCCCAAGGAGTCAGGCATAAGCAAATACTTCTAATAGGCAATTACGCTTTCAGAGGAGGACACAGACTTTTTAGTTATGAGGATTAGAAGACTAATAGACACAGATACAAATTTGGAATGGATAAAATACTTTGCTGTGTAAACTGCAAATAAGCAGTTCCTATTGTTAGCATGTCCTAGGGATAACTTATTTTCAGAGAATCACCTCTTGTAATTTTAGACCCCAAAGAAATATGCCTCTCAGGAGCTCAGGGATTCCTTTTACTAAACTGACCTTGAAGAAAATAAAATATCTATTTCATCTAGTTCCTAGTCTCTTCCTTTTCTGTCTCCCCTCTTATCCCTTTTGAGAAGCCAGTACCATCAGTGACGTTCATGCTGCAGGCTCTGTGCTCCTTGCCAACTTGCCTGGCCTGCACACGGTGTGCATGAGGACAGGAGGAAAGCTCCTTGCAGGGACTTGACACAAACTCATTCTAAACATTTACTCAAAACTAGTAATCTAACTCTTCGTACAAGATACCCATTCACTTATTAGGAGCAAATAACAGCAGTGAACTAACGCTGCACTTTTTCTATTATTCAAACCTGCTGCTAACAATGAAGAAGATGATGTCATTCCCTGGATGTGACAAAGGACTAATATTATATGCAGTAAAAACAATGAGTCAACAGTTTCTATGCCCTTGAGGTCAAAGCATTCAGCAGTTTTGAAAGTAGACTGTTCTCTTTGTATACAGAGCTTGTAGCTGTATATTAATACAAAATGTGTAAAATCAAGATATAATTAAAGCAGAAAACATACTTTCTGAGTTTTAATTAAAGTTTAAAAAGTTTCAAAAGTAAGCTAAAAGGCCAAATGAAATATTTTATAAAATAAACTAAATGACACTAATTTTACCCAAATATGTTAAGTATAATGCTGCAAAACATTTGTTTTCAAAAATACTTTATCTACATTAAGTTATCATTTGTATGATCTTGAGAGGCACTTGGCAAACACAATTCTCAGTAACATTAATAAGAACTGTGAGTATCAATGCAGTAACCAAATAATATGAAATGTTTTAGAGATATTTTGTAATGGTCTGAAAGATAAGAAAGACCTTTAACACGGAAATGTGTTTTGAGAGACAACGAAAAGCAAGTCTAACAACCAAAGCCTCTTTTTTGTTTCCCAGATTTTCTGGAACACACAGGGTATGGACCAAATCCTGGCCATCTTTAACCACAAATGCATCTTGCTCAGTCTAGTGCAAGAACTGCCTAACATCGACATAGCTCCTTGCATCA